GTATATATTCTATAAATTTCAGCAGATATATAACATCTATTCCTCATTACACTGTCATATAGAATAGCTTGATTATCCTAAAAAGCCCCTTGTGGTCACTCTGTTCCACTTCTTCTCTCTCTGAACCTCTGAGAATCTGATCATTTAACTATCTCCATTTTTTTTTCGTCTTTTCTGGAATGTCATGCAGCTGGAATCATACAGTATGCAGTTTCTAAAAGATTTCATTTACCAGCACGAACTTGTTTCCTTTGGGTTGTTCCATGGCTTGATAGCTCATTTCTTCTTCGCACTGAGTAACAATTCTGTTGTCTGGATGGACCACAGGCTGTTCATTATCTATTGAATGATATCTTAGATGTTTATGAGTTTTCACAGTTACAAACAAAGCTTCTATTCATTATGTGTATTCTTGAATACACTTAAACTACTTTTAGTTTTTCTGGCGTAGAACAACCAGGGGGATGGGATTCCTAGCAAATTATATCTAGCAATTGCAACGGACCAGCCCAGACCGGGGCAGTTCAGTCCGATGGGAACAGGGTCGTCGAGAGGGTGGACAAGGAGTCGGCGAGTGACAAACAGACGCAAAAGGAGCTTGATGAAAGTCTGAGTGTAATTTTCACAGTTGCAAGGTTTGAAATATATACAGCAAAGATTACAAAAAAACGCAGAACAGTCATGCTAAGATTCACAGTTCCAGAGGTGAAAGTAAAACATAATTTTGCCAACATATCTCTCTATCTTATCAACCTGACACTAGACAGTAAATTCCTGTTTTTCTGTGTTTGTTTAACTTTTTTACTGTCAGCCTTTCCCACCCACTTAAGATTCTGCTCGGCTTTGTAATCCCAGGTCAAGATGGCCTTGATTCATTAAGCACCCCATTAAGCACTTCCAACACCAGTGGTGCCAGGTTGTTACTTTTTTAACGATCTGATAACATTCCTTGCTTGTTTGTAGTGGGCCACAGGGCTTCTAAGTTAGTTTAACTCTATAAGTCCCAAAAAGGCTATTTCATGCTAGGGATCCATGAATCCATACTTTTCTCTTATCCTACCAATTTTCAAATACTTTCTATATTTGCTCTTTAATGCTCTCTTATTGATTGTTTATCAAAAGACTCCAAGGTGGTCTTGATCTTACCAATTTATCCATGAATTGTAATGAATAACAAGAAACCCTTCTTCTATCTATATTTATCTATCTACCTTTTTCTTCTAGAAATCTATTATTCCCTGGACTTTCCAGCATTAGCTCTGCTTAGTCACTTCTCACTATGTCTAAAATATCTCTCATTAAAATATCTTTCATTAATAATGGTGCATCTGAACTAGGATGATTAAAGGATTTCAATAAAGGCAGTGATAGCGGTGCCAAGGACACCAGGCACTTTCTGGGCCCCCAGAAAGCCCAAGATACAGTGACAGTTAGAAAATTAATAGCAAGTAAGAGCGTGCCAGGTACACTGCATGTTTCTTATCACAACCAATTCCAAGAGGCAACCTTCCTTGAAGTTCCAGCCTCAACCCACGGAGGATCTCACGCGGGCTTCATTGGAGATGGCGTGACAAGCAATAGCAGTTTTTCAACTCATTTGGATAAACATCAAGGTATGCAAATGCTGGTTTGTATGGTTAAGAATATACTATATTTTATAAGAAACTGCCAAAATGTCTTCTTGATGATAGCATTTTGCATTCCTATCAGCAATGAATAAGAGTTCTGCTGCTTCACATCCTTGTTGGGATTTGGTGTTACCCATGTTATGGATTTTGCTCATTTAGATAGGCATATAATGGTTTCTTACTGTTTTTGAATTTGCAGTTTTTATGGCTAAGAGCACTGACTGCTCTTGCAGAGGACCCGGGTTCTATTCCTAGCACCCACATGGCGGCTATGAACCGTCCTTAACTCCAGTTCCAGGGGTATCTGAAGCTCTCTTCTGATCTCTGCGGCATTGCACGACACGGGTGCACTCACATACGTGCAGGCAATACACTCGTACACATAAAATTAAAAAAATAAAATATTTAAAAAAATATTAATTTTAATTATATGTATTTAAAAATTATTTTAATTATCTGAGTGTGCCTGTGTGTGGATATATGCATGTGTATGTGTGGGTGCCCATGGAAGCCAGAGGTGTCAGGTCCCCCTGGAGCTGCAGTTACAGGCAGTTATAAGCTATTTGAAGTGGGTGCTGGGACTAAGGCCCTCTGGATGATTAACACATGTTCTTAACCACTGATCCATCTCTCCAGCCCCTGAATTTGCAATTCTTTGCTGACATATGACAGTGAACTATATTTAAATATGCTTAGTTGCTATTTATGCCGTGTATCCTTTGGTGTGATATCTGTTCTTTTTTGTTTTTGGAGACAAGGTCTCCCTGTAGCCCCAGCTGGCCTGGACCGCTCTCTGTAGTCCAGGCGGGCCATGAACTCACAGAGACTCCCCTGCCTCTGCCTCCTGAGTGCTGGAATTAAACGCATGCGCCACCACGCCCAGCAGACTTTTTCTTATTTTTAAACAGAGTTATTTTGACCTTTTGGAATTCTTTATATGTTTTGGGAATCAGCTCTTTATAAGACACATATTTTGCAAAGATTTTTTTCCCCAGTCTATAGCTTATCTTATAGTTTATTTAAAAAAAATATTTTATTTTTATTTTATATGTGTGTGTGTATTGCCTGCATGTATGTAATTGTACTGTGTCATGCAGTGCCCATGGAGGTCAGAAGAGAGTGTCAGATCCCTTGGAACTGGAGCTATGGACCATTGTTTGCTGCCTTGTAGGTGTTGGGAACTGAATTTGGGTACTCTACAAGAGCAGCCAGTGCTCTTAACCACTAAGCTATTTCTCCCTCCCCTGGTTTAACAGTTTTGGTAGAACAGAAAGTTTTTTTTTTTGTTGTTGTTGTTTTGTTTTTTGTTTTTTTGGTTTCTTTTTTTAATTGAGTTTTTAAAATTTCATACATTTCCCACTCAAATCCAGACCTCCTCCCCCATCCATGCCTCTCCCTATCCCCTCCACCGAATCCCATGCACTCTGCCATACCTGCTGAGTACTATTCATTCAGGTGTTTGTACACAAATATCCTTCAGTGTAACTGCGTCCACTAGAGTCTAGTCAGCCCATCCAGTCATCATATGTAAGTTATACTCTCCCTCACCCAGTAGCAATCCAGTCTCAAATAGTTCTCAATCTAGTGCTGGCCTGTCACCTATTTCTCACCTCCCCTTTGGGCCCTTGTTTAATTGAGCTGACATGGGTCCTGTGTTTGCTGCTATCACTGACACAGGGTCAAATGAGCAAGCCTCCAGTGGCCTGGAAGCCTCCACTTCCTTATGTTCATGAACCAGCTGGCTCTTACAATCTTTTTGCCTCCTTTTCCTCAATGGTCCCTGAGCTGTGGGTGGGTGAGGGTCCATATAGGAGTCCCATCCTACACTCTACAGTCTCTTCTTCTCCAAAACTTGGTCAGTTGTGGCTTTCTGTGTGTATTGTACTCTGATGTACATGGAAGCATCACTAGTGAGAGTTGAGGGGTGCATTAGCCCACTCTCTACCCCTTATTCTGATGTGTTCCATGAGCCTCGGTTGTAGAGATTCGACAGGGAGATGTGCGTGACCAGATGTGCAACTTTGCAGTAGCCTCCATTTGTTGCAAAAAGAAACTTCTTTGATTGTTCTACTAAAATTTCTCCTCCCCCTTCTTGAGACATGCCCCTCCGTGCCCTCTGAGGCCCCAGGGCTAACAAACCGACAGAATATCTTTTATTTGGGTTTTAGCATGGTTTATATAATGTTCGGGAAGGGTGACTTACAAAGCGTAAGCTCCCATAGTCCATCTTCTACATTTTGACTAAGCTTTGAGATCCTCTCCATGCCCTGCCCGAAGTTTGCCAGCTGTCCTCACACCATCTCACCCCTTGAGGTCCTCGCCGGGTCCACATGGTCCTCGAGATGTCCATGGCACCCCTTGGGGTCCACGACAGGCTGGCTCACCCTCTAGCCTGCTATTCTCTGTTCTCAAAATGGTGCCAACTCTTCGTCCTTTTTCCTAGTGTGCTCTGCTTCTCTCTGGGTCTCTAGACCCACCCCCCTTTTTTCCTCGGAGGATGAATTTACCCAACAGTGCTGTATGGCATGTTTGTCACTTTAAGGGAGGTCTCTTCTATCTGGCACTGCATTCCCTACCAAGCAGCTCCTAGGTCCCCCGATTCACTCACTTCTCTTTTTTCTCCCATCTGGCCTCTCTCTTCCCTCCCTTCCTTGTCACAGTGTCCCCATTATCCCCACCATCTCCTCAATAATTCCCGACTCCTGCCATCTTTCCTTTCCTGACTTCCCTAGCTCCCTCACACTATGGTCCCTTGGATGTCCCTCCCTCCTCCTCTCCCTGCAGATTACTCCCACTTTTTCCACCTCCCTGAGGTAACATCTGTTCCTTACTATCCCCCTTTCAGGTTGTTTCTTTTCCTTTACCTCCATGTATCCTTTGGCTTTACCTGGTTCTGAACAGAAGGTTTTTAAGTTCAGTGAAATCAAACTTATTATCTTTTCTTTTATGATTAGTGCTTTTAGTATTGCACCTAAAAAGTCATTGCCAAACCCAAGGATAGCTGTATTTTCTTCTATGAGTTGTATAAATTTACATTTAGTCTATGAGCCATTTTGAGTTAATTTCAATCAAAGGTGTAAGGTCCACTATCTGGAATCTAAAATCTTAACAAAATTTTTTTTGCATGTTGATGTCTAGTGATCATGGTTTCTCCACTGAGTTGTGTTTCCTCCTTTGTCAAAAGTCAATTGTTCGTATTTGTGTGGGTTTCTTGACTTACCAGTCTGTTCATTGATCTAGTTTTCTGGTATTTCATTCATATATTGTTTTGATGACTATAGCTTTTTTAGTTAATCTTAGAGAATTAGTCTAGTAGTGTCAACATTGTGTTGGCTATTTTGTGTATTTTGCCTGTTCATATAAGCTCTGGAATTAGTCCGTCAGTGTCCAGAAAAATATTAAAAATATTTTTATTAGTTATTTGGATTTTCATATATGCATGCAATGCATTTTGATCACAGCCATCACCTGCTCCTTTCCCCAACTCCTCCCAAATCCATACCCCAAATCCCCACCCCTCCCAACTTTGTGTACTTTTTTATTTTAACTCACTGAGTCCAATTTGTCCTGCCCATATACTCATGGGCGTGAAGCCATCCACTGGAATGTGGTCAATGTACAGGAGCCACACCCTTAAAGAAAACTAACACTTCCTCCCCCAAGAAACTGTCAACTTCAGTAGGTCCTCAGCTAGGGATAGGGGTTCATGAGCCCCTCCCCGCAACATGCTGGATGTTGACTGGCTTTATCTTGTGCAAGTCTTATGTAGGCAACCACAACTGCTGTGAGTTCATGAGTGCACCAGATCTGTCATGCCTGGAAAACACTATTTTACAGCAATCATTCACTACCTCTGGCTCTTAAAATCTTTCTGTGCCCTTTTCCATAATGGTCCCTGAGTCTGTGTGTGTGTGTGTGTATGTGTATGTTGCATGTGCATGCACGTTCTTTGCATGTGTGTGTCTGCACAGGTGTGTGGGTTCATGCATGTCTGTGCCTGCATGTGGAGTCTTGAAGTCAATGTTGCGAATCTTCCTTAATTGCTCTTCCACCTTATTTAATGAGGCAGAGTCTCTCAATCAAACCTAGAGCTTTCCCAATGGCTGGTCTTGGTAGCCGGCTTGCTCTGGGGACCTCCTGTCTCTGCCTTCTGAGGCTGGAATTACAGAGGCTATTATACCCACTCACAATTTTATGTTGGATTCTAACATCCAGTGTCCATATTTTCTTGGTAAGCACTTTAACCTCTGAGCCATCTCCTAACTCCCTCAGTCATTTTTATGTTTTCATTTTGAGACAAGTTCTTACAAATTGCCCAGGTTGGCCTTGAACTCACTCTGTGGCTCTGGCAGTTTTTGAACTTGTGATCTGCCTCCCTCAAGCTTCCTGAACAGGTAGGATTATAGGCCTCTGCCACCAGGCTATAGCAAGATATTTTAACTACAGCTAGTTATGACGTCTGTCCATTCTGACTTTCTTTTTGTCTTACCATGTCTTGTGTCAGATAGCATTGGTATAGTCATAGATATTTTTGGAAGCTACCTAAGAAAGATTGAATTACATTTAGTTTGGGTTTAGCAGAGTGCAGTTATGTGGTTTGTGAATAGTTGTTTCTGGTTCTTCCATTTAGAAATGGCTTCCAGGAAGTATCTAACATTTCTAGGTATGAAGTACTGGGACCCCCAACTGAAAGGCCAAAGTTAGCATCAAACATGACTGTGTCTTATGGCTCCTGGTAGCAGAAATAGGTGGTTATACTATTAATGGAAGAGAAAAAGTGCCTAAATATTAGAAACTAGAAACTAGTCTAAAGAAAATGCTACCAGTTTTCAGACAATAAAATTGGAAGCAGAGGTTTCATTTAGCAGGCAAATCTTTTCTGTCAAGAGTATATTTGATATGTAGCACTAATATTTAGCATAGCTTTTAATTTTTAGGTAGGAATTGAATGAATTGATTTTTTATCAGAATTACTGTGTTAGTAGGAGATAGAGTTGTAATAGTAAAATAAACAATGGGGATTTCTGTGTGTGAAATCATATACATAATAGATCAACATATATAACCTGAAGAAGATAAAAATGAATAGATGTGACATTTCTGAAAGTTGTTCTTACAGCTTGAGCTGAGGATTGATGGAGGTTGTCTGAGATCCTTCAAGTGGATTGATGAAGTAAAACTTTTATAATAATGCCCAAATATCATCTTATTTTTTTAATTCTACCTCTTTGAATACTGCACTGTAAAAAATTCTAACAATTACTTATAGGATGTTGTAATACACAAAGAGTGCATGCAGAATCAGGTAAAAGAATCATATCATCCCTTGGCATGGCAAACACAAAGGAGATTTCAAGAATAAAACCATTCTTCTTGTTAAATTTTGAAGGTTTGCCCACAAAATATCTTGTCAATTTATAGATACCCTTTTCAGATTCTGCAGATCTGAAATGTGAATGATAAATCTTTAATCCGTTGAAATGGAATATATATCATGGTTGCATATGTAGGTTTGTTGCGTACTGATGGGGCCAGACATATATAGTGAGAAATATTATTAAACTAATCTGTGAGAGAGGGGCTCTACTTCCAATCTGGATAAGATGCAGTGGTCTGGGTTACATATTTAAACCAGAAGAAATTCTGCCTTTTAGGTGGATTGGTCTACTTGAGTGATTACTTTTATGAACACCATTACTTTTATGAACACCATTTCAGACTCTCAGACATACCAAATTTAATACTGAGTGTCATAATCACTAGCTTTGACTCTAAAGCAGGTTGAGGACCAGCAACAATTTGTCTCACTGTTGGCCATAAATTATCAGAAATAATTTGCTTATTGAAAAGTAAAGTTGTGGCTCTTGTGGGAGAATGGGTTTTGAGTTGGTTGTGAGTAGGCCAGAATTTATCTTCACATTGCTAGCTGTCCTCTCTTTTGAACTATTCCAAAGTCTGAGGCTTGACGTGTCAGGAAGACATTTTGTAGTAATGTAATTCCTGAAGGCAGCCAACTTTCTTACATCCCAAAGAAGAAAAGAGTTAGTTTTCAAAATATATATTTTAATATGTGTCTTCCAGGTCCGAAGTGACATGCTGCAATATTTCAAAGAAAAAATTTATCTGTTTATTTTTTTCAGAACTTGGCATTTTCTTCATTTAATATATTTCCTGAAATTCCAAAAAACTTTTCAGGTAAAGTAAAAATATTTATCTTCTGAGACCTTTCAAGTGTGTCTCATATTTATATTTCATAATATTATTAATGAAGGTGGTTCAGTTGAAGCAGTTTAGTTGAAGAAATAGCTTAGTGAATTCCTAGAAGAAAACAAAGTGACTTTTGAGTGTAGGTAAAAGGCAAGTTCATTTAAACACTTTTTTTCAGAATTCGAGATCAAGTTTCTTTTCCAGAAATCCGAGTGTCAATATCAAACTATTCTAAGGCTATTTGGCTCTAGATATAGGCATATGTTGAATGCTTATTTTTTGCTAGCTGACATTTTAAAAGCTTATTTTTCTGTAAATATGAGGATGCATATTTAAAATAAAGTAAGAAATTACATTGGTCTAGGGACATGGCAAAAGTGGGTTTTTTGCTATTGTATGACCTCTCCAGCCATGTGTATTTGCCTGTGTTTACAGTACCATACAAGAATTCCTTTCCATTGAGTGACCTCCCCAAGGGACATCTGGGAACACAAATCAGACTGTATAGGCCATTAACTATCTAAGAAAGTTAGATATTATATATCTAAGAGAGTTCATTAAATTGGGCAGGGGGCAGTGCAGGGAGGTGCGGACAGGGGACCAGATCTAAATATCATCAAACTATATTGTTTGAAAATCATAAAAATTCAATAAAAAAGAAAAACAAGCTTCTTTTTGCAATGTCTAGTCTCATCTGAAGGGAATGTAGATGTATTTATTCACTGCATTAATTCCAACCTATTATCAGTTGCTTCTTATGTTAGGATATTCTTAGGCTCATTCCAATAAGTGAATTGAAAAGGATCATGATGAACTGAAAAGTGTAAGTTATGGGTCCTGTGTGTGCATGTACATGTGTATGTGTGCACGTGCATGTGTTTTCATGTACATGTTTGAGTGTGTGTATATGTTCTGGGGAAGTTACACCAACAATTCATTACAATTCACAACAATTTTTCCAGGGGAAATCCATGGGATTGGTAACCTAATAAACATATTCCTTCATGTGGTCTGTTACCTTTGAGTAAAGAAGGCCCCTTGCTTTTACTGAGTGAGATCTGCATTAGTTGAGGCAAGGCAAAGAACTCTTCTCTCCCATTCTGAAGATGACCTTCATGGTAAGAAGCATTTTCCAGCTGAGGAGATGTGCTGGATAGCTTTAGTGCCAACTTGACACACCTGGGTTGAGCCTCAATTGGCGAATTGTCTCTATTGGACTGGCCTGTGGCCATGTCTTTGGGGCATCTTCTTGATGAGTGATGTGGGAGAGCCCAGCCCACCGTGGGTGGTGCCACCCATGGGCAGGTGGGCCTGTGTTGCATAAAAAAGCAGGCTGAGCAACGGTCAGGGGAGAGAGCCAGTAAGCAGCATTCCTCCATGGCCTGTGCTCCAGCTCCTGCCTCCAGGTTCCTGCCCTGAGTTCCTACCTTGGGCTCCTTGATGAACTGTGGTCCAGGAGATGTACTATAAAATAAACCCTTTTTTTCCCAAGTTGGTATTGGTCAGAGTATTTTATCACAGTGATGGAGAAACAAACTAGGACAGGAGACTTACCATTTGGTGATTCTGTAGTGGTTTCCTCAGGAGTATGTGTGCCCCTTCTCATGCCTGCAGGGGTGCTCATCCCATAGTCATCATCTGTGACACCAGGTGTTGGAAGGTGGCCCTGGGTGGTTCCCTGGATGGCAGAGTTTGCTCCTGCCTGTCCAGTAGGAAGGACTCCATTCTGCACACCTGGGTTAGCCCCTGCCTGACTAGAGGGCAGGATCCCTCCAGGGAACAAAGGATGGATAAGGAGGCCTGTGAAGATTTGTGGGGCTAATGGCTAGAATAGAAAAGGAAACAGAAAACAAAAGTGAAAAAGGACTCTTTTTAAGAGTGACTTATTTTTTTTTCTTTGGAGGGCAGCAAGTTGGGGTAGAAATGGCATGAGGAAGAGGATAAAGTCAGAGAAAGTCACAAAGATCTGGCATTCATCAGAGATGCTTCCTGGCCAGGGCCACGTCTGATGTTACCTTTGTTATTGGGATGCCTCACTGTACTTTTTCCTCAAAAAAGGAAATTCAGATGCAAACCAGTAACTTATAGTTGATGTTATCAGGTGTATTTGGAGATAATACTAAGAAAATCCACACAATAATGATAGGCTGTATCTCTGTCATTGATCTACAATGTAACCTTTCTTTTGCCCATAAAAGTTCAAAAAGAGTACTTTAAGAGACTATAAGTTAATGGAAAAGCTAATTCAAGTAGATTAACCAAGTTTTCTTCAGTGAACTTTAAAGGCATTGCTGTATTCAGCTAGAGCTGCTTCTCTTGGCACTTGAGCCACTTGTATATTTTCTGAGGTTACTAGGAATTCCTCTCAGAGTTTTCCATCATTAGATTCTGCTTGAGCAGGTCTGGGCAGGATCTAGTAATCTGCATTTCAAACTAGTTCTCAAAGTAATCCTGAGGTGATCTGAGGGCCAAAACTGTAGTTTGTTTTAGACTTAAGAGATACTAGCAAGATAATCTAGCCAGAGCTAGATTTCTGCTGGATGAGATGGGCAAAGTTCTGTATAGAAAATTTCAGGCTGAGGATCATGACACCTAGTTTTGAAATAAGAAAATTATGATTGACAGAGAAGACTATAAGTTGCCAGAAGACTATAAGTTGCCAGAATGCATTCCATATAAGGGTAAGTATTGATTCATGAACTCATGAGTGCGTGTGTTTTGGACTGCATGAAAATGTAATTATTACAAGTTTGAATTATAGCAGACAAAAAAAAAAAAAGGCTTTGGACCTGAATCTCCTTTCTTTTTTGTTGTTGCCTTTGAGACCCAAGTTACTTAAGCTCCCTGAGCCTCAGTTTACTCATACAGTTTTGTTAAAGGTGTCTTAATGAGGTTTAAAGGTAAGAGATCTGCTAAAGTGCGCTATGGTAAAAGCCCCAATAACAGAAAGATGTGGCTGCTCACATATGAGTGCTGGCAGACTAGACACTGATCTATTACCTGATCACTGTTTATGGATGATGTAGCAAACAATATATACCTTTTTCATAATTGAAAACTATATTAAAATTGTGTTCTGAGATATTATCTCAATTTCTTACTTCTGTTTTCATGTTTAGATATCATGGTAATTCAAAGAATTTTCTCTAAACATGACCTGTATTTGCTGCATAGAGGTCTGAGTGATGGTAATCGGATTCATGTATATAGAACAGAATTCACTCATTAACAGAATAGAGAAAAAATTATATATTAAAAATACAACAAATTCAGCCCTTCCTGCAGTATCAATGTTTATATTATTCTATAGTTTAATGATTTCAATGTTTTATAATTTAGCTTTTAATCAATCTAAAGGTTAAAAATGTGCATTGGCGCTCTGATTTAGAGCTGAATCTGATAGTGATATATAGAAAGCTAATACAAAGCTAAATTATTGGAAAAGTAATGAGAGGATGATGAACTCTCCAGCTGAGAAAGAACAATTGAATTCAAGGAAGCGTGAAAGTGGTCTGTTCATTGTAGTGCACATCAGATTCAGCTTGTGATCAAAGGAATGGAAAGGACAGAGGACACTATGGAAGAACTGAAAGAATTTAGAAGGGTAGTGACTTAAAAAACTCTTTTTACCAATTCCTCCGAGCTTAGGAGAGTTCCCTAAGAGCAATAAACAAGTTATTAGACAAAATTGAATATATTCAATAAATTCATAACATAAATTAAAATTTAAAACACTTTAAAGTATTATAAAGAGATCTTTTTATTATCAATAATACATTAAAATATCTGATACCTATATTACAAAATTCATATCAGCATATATGGGACTATTAATGCTTATTATTAAACAATGTGAGACCACTTGAATTTAAAACCATACATTTTATATTATTAACTAATAGATGTACTCTGGAAGAAACACAAAGAATGCAGAAAATCACAGGAAAAATCCACAGTCCTATAATTTACATATGATTGCTTTTCCAGGTATTTCCTATACATTTATTTTTATATAATAGAACTTTGTAATTTTTTCAGTTTTCATTTTCCTTTTTTTAGTATTTCATAATAATCCTTTAGCTGTATTGCTGAAAATTGTAATAAATATAATTTAAAATGGTTATGTAGTTCATTTGCTGTTTTGTTGCATGGTTTGCCTAACGATGCAGCTAATTTTTTTCTCTACCACAAATATTATTTTGATGAATGTATTGTACCTTAACCTTTGCTGTATTTCAGACTTTTTTCTTGAGATATGGTCATAGACATGGATTAATGAGTCAACAGGGCTGAGTGTATTTGCACATTCCTGTAATCTCAGCACTGGGAAGGCTGAGGCAGGAGGACTGCAAGCTCAAGGACAGCTTGGTAGGCTATATAGAATGTCTCTGTCTCAAAAAGAAAAAAAAAGAATTTATAGGAATTTTATATCATCATTTGCTTCTGATTTTAGAAATAAGAGCTGTCACCTGATGTTGATATTGATCCTAGTCCTTGATAATTTTATCAGTGAACTCAGTAATTGCTTTCATAGAAGTAAACATGAAGAGAGGGCAGAAAGGGTTTCAGCATTTTGGGATAAACATATCTATGTAAAATTAAACTTGAGATTAAAAAATAAATCCCCTAAATAATGAATCATCATATTAATCCCATTATTTCTTTCTTGATGGTGTGGGTTAGAGGAGTGACTGACTGATTCATTTACTGAAGGAATGACTATAACAAACTATCACAATTTACTCATTTCCAGGTTGAACCTAACAATGATGTCTAGAGACTGTTTCACTTTTTTTTTGGTCTTTTTGAGACAGGGTCTCCCTGTAGCCCCAGCTGGCCTGGAACTCACTGTGTAGACCAGGTTGACCTTGAACTCACAGAGATCCGCCTGCCTCTGCCTCCCAAGGGCTGGGATAAAAGGTGTGCGCCACCACACCCAGTTTGACTGTTTTCACTTTTAAGTGAAGCAATACCTATAAAGTACTTCTATTTGTGCCTGCACACAGACAGGGCTCAATGTTAGATGTTATTCCCAGTGCTCATATGGAAAGCAAGTTAGAAACTTGGCGCTTAACTGGTGAAATGTGGTAATTCACCTTTCATATACAGGTGATTTAAAATAAAAATCTGTTTAAAAACAATCTTACCTGGGCTCCAAGTCGTGCCACAATAATTGGTAACATCTGAAAAATAAAGAGAGGAGAAACAACACTGGTAAAATAGAAAACTGGTGGTAAATTACGGGCACATTGCTCAGTAACCTCCACTATCAGCAGAGCTCTTGCAGTCTGGAGGGAAGTACCAACAACTGGGCACATGTTATGAATTACTAGCTAAGTAGATATGGATGAGGAGTTGTCATGCTGTAGTAGTCTCTATTACAAAACTATAGAAGAGTCTCAGGGTCAGGAAAGTTATCAAAACAGACTTTTAACTTAATACCGACTATCCTGAAAGATTTGAAGGCCTTATGGGCTTTTAACCTTATTATTTTCCAAGATGGTACAGCAATACCTATAAGACCAATAGGTGAAAAGCACATATGTTTATGAAAAATTCTATCACTCAGCCCCTTGTCTGCTGACAATGACAGCACCACCAGCAGCAGCAACAAACCCAACTAACTTCAGGGTGGTGAGGAGAAAAAAGTTTGGGGAGAAGGGACCAGTAGGATTTGGGAGAAAACAAAGTTAAAATTTCCTCTTAATGGAAAATTGGAGTGAAAAGAACAAAAGGATAAAAAGAGGAAATCCATGGGTGTGTAAGCAAAAAACTATAATGAAAGTTAATCTAATTGTTCACCAATATAACTAACAAAGAAAGTATTTTGTCTTATTGATTAAAGGTTATTTGAAGTAATATAGATAATACTTGTGTGTTTATCACTGAACTCAACAATTGCTTTCATAGAAGTAAACATGAAGAGAGGTGAGAAAGGGTTTCAGCATTTTGGGATAAATGCATCTATGTAAAATTAAATTTGAGATTAAAAAATAAATTCCCTAAAAAAATGAATCATCATATTAATCCCATTATTTCTTTCTTGACGGCGTGGGTTAGAGGAGTGACTGACTGATTCATTTACTGAAGGAATGACTATAGCTAACTATCACAGTGTACTCATTTTCAGAAACTGTTCTAAATATCTTATGCATATTTATTCTTTTAATCATTAAAATGTCTATAGAGGAAGCTTCTACTTTAATGCCCATTTTAAATTCTGAGAAAAGTGAGTCATATCGGGGTTAAATAACTTGCCAATACCACAAATGCTGGGTTTGGAGGGCTGAGATTAGACTAGTTGTGAAGTTCTAGAGTCTTTTTTTCCCCAAGGGTGGCCTTTTCGGATAGAAGCTGCCAGCATGTGTCATAGACAGTGATCTAATCTTACATGATGTGCCTGTCACACACCCTTCTAAGTATTTATGTTTACGCCCATAAACTAATGCTGCTGTCATCTTTGCTCAGAGAAGCTTCTGTTGCAGTGGGTGGCAGTTACGGCAGGCACTCCTAACTGGTCAAAGTGCTGAACATGAGAGACTGTTGAATGTCCGCCCTAAAGGAAACATCTATATCACCCTTTCTAAGGCTTAGGGATTACTGGAGAAGAGCAGCAGAAGTGATGGAGGAAGGGGTGGAGTTATGTGGAATGCTGACTTTGGGAAGGACATGGCCATTGCACTCTTGATCTCTCAGCAGCTGTGATCACCATCACAAGTCTAGATTTGTCAGCACTCTGTCATGGACAGGCAAGGGACCCAGAGGCCCTGCTCCTCCTTGAGAATTTATAGGCAGTTGATAGTTGCTAGGGGGAAGGGCCATGAGGCCCCACCCCTCTCTGAGGATTAATAGACAGTTAATGTTTGCTGGGGCAGGGAGAGATATTTTCCTCAGTCATAGAGCCACTGGTAAATTGTCCATGTTCCTGTAAATAACCCTTCACTTATGCTCATGTAGTTATCCTAATTAAACTTGGATGACACATAAGCAAAAAAAGACATGAATAGAAGAAGGGGGACTAGATGGGAGAGGAAGGGATCCGGAGGGGTGAGAGGGTGACATGGAGGGCAATGGGAGTTGAATATGATAAAATACATTACATACATGTGTAAAATATCACAATGAAATTCATAATTCTGTGTAATTAATATATACTAAATAAAACTTAAAAAGTGAAAGTGATCCTCTCTATATAGGAAGAGGCAGATTAGAAGGAGTGGTGCTGCCAGGAGAAGGCCATGGGGACTCTTGGTGAGAGCAAGGCCCAGAGACATTGAAGAATCCCCACAGACACTCCTGCATGTTGGGGAGTGTGCAACATCAGAGCTATACTGAAACTTTTGTAACACCTACAGTGGCCACTAATGTGTTTGACTCTTTGGGAAATAGGTAGTTGTGCTAAGTGTGTTTCTTTAAAAAAATTTTTTTATGCGGATCTCTGCGAGTTCAAGGCCAGCCTGGTCTACATAGTGAGTTCCAGGACAGCTGGGGCTACAGGGAGACCCTGTCTCAAAAAGACGCCCCCCCCAATTTTTTTTATAAGCGTGTAACGTGTTAGATCCAAACAAACACAGCATGTTTGAACAAAGTGTGCTTTTGTAGTTCTCCTCTCCATCCCCTCTACTCCTCTGCCACCCTTGCTTCCACCTTGTAGCCTCCGCAGACTCCTCCTCTTTCATGCCTCGCGATTATCAGCGGACCGCAACAACTGAGATTGAAGCTGGGCAGTCTGTGTATGAACCACACAGCACCGTGTGTTCCACAGGATCATTCCATTTGCATGTTTCCCCAGTCTTCTTCAGAGGGTAAATTTACTCCCAATATTTTTATTTGCAAGACAGTTGTATGTCTTTGGTTCCAAAAATTCTAAGAACTGGTACAAAGGAAATACTCCTTGGTACAGTCATAGATTTAGAAAAATGTTCAGTATAACTTAGAAGTCAAAAGTTTTGGAAAAGAAACCCTGATTTTTCACAGTAAGGAATTTTGTATACAGTGTCAAACTAAGCAGTTATTAAAAATAATATTGCAAATAAATATTATAAGGTGTCAAAGTAATTCAAAATATATATACTAGAAAAAATCAGGGTACAGAACATTAAATGCTACCAGAACATATTTTCTTTAAAAAA